TTTGGTATAGGGATTAAGTTCGGGACCTTGTGCTTGCAATGCACGTGGCAGAACCACTGGGCTAAATCCCCAGCCTAAATATGATTCTTAATTGATTAAATTTCGCAATAATGAGTTTATTCTTCTCTTCCAAAGTGGAATGAAGCTATAATTCAGTAATGGAAGAAAACTTTAAAAGTTCCCAAATCTATATAAATTAAATAATTCTTAGCAAATGTGTTACTAAAAAAGAAAAAAAACCCTAGAAAACGCACAGATACAAATGAAAATGAAAATACACTCAAATTTGTAGATGTAGTGAAATTAGCTATTATCATTTACATTAAAAAGAAAGAGCTCAAATAAACAGTCTAATATGAAGAACTAGAAGAAGACCAAATTAAATCCAAAGCTAATAGGAGGAAAGAAGTAATAAAGATTAGATTAGAGTGAAACTAAAGACATTACAGAATAAAAGACCATAAGGATATCAGTGAAGCCAAAAGTTGATCTTCATACTAGTCGTGAAGTCTTCCCACTGAAATTCATCCTCAAACCATAGAAAAACAACAACAAAACAGACATATGAGAAAAAAGGCAAGAAAATGCCTGCAAAAACTGCCAATATTCCCCAAAGCAGAACACTAAGGGGCACCAATAGGAAATAAAATACCAAAGAGTCAAATTATACAAAGTGAAAAGAAGAAATTCAGTGACCTCAATGATGATATCTCTAAAAAGGTAATAGATTTGATAAACAAAATAGTGAGCTTAATGATTATACTAATAAAAGACTAGTACAGCTAACCAAAATTATTGACATGAATGACCAATTTAGCAAGAAGTTACAGTCTATAAAAATTTTCCAAGCAGAAATACAGAAGGTAAGTAATTCTATCGAAAGTGGAAACAGCAGAAGTGACCAATGTAAGAGAATCTCTGAACTAGAAAAAAAGGCTGATGCTCTTGATTATATGCACAGAGATACCTTAAAAATAATGAGAGAAAGTGAAATTACCTAAGATATCCTAGAAGATGCAAAGACCACCTAAGATTAACTAGAATTAGAGACAGAAGACAACAAGAATGGCATAAAAATGTTTACAGAAATCATAGCAGAAAAATGTGCTAGCATGAGGAAAGACGCTACATAAAACCAAATGGCTACACCTGCCTCGCATGCTCAAGGTCTTGAGTTTGATCCCCAGTACAAAACAAAACAAAACAAAACAAAACAAAAAAACCCCAAGTGGCTAAAATGTTTGAAGAGATAAAAGAAGAAACACATAAGAAAATTAATAATGTATTTAGTGAGCTTAAGAAGGATTTAAATATTTCAGAGAAGAACCTTAGAACAAAAATACAGTACTCTTTGACCGGCATACACTTTTAACACTGCTTTTTTTAAAAAAAAAAAATCATTTCTAATAGTGATTCAAATAGATGTAAAGGTCAAAGTAACTTATCATTCTCAGAAAAACTTCACTCTGGTGTACCTTTAAGCTTACATTCAGATCATTCTCATTTTAAAATATAAAATTATCTATAACAAGAAGAATTTATGCTATTTCCTATGCTTTATTAAAATTTCCACTAAAATAATTTTGCAGGCTTTTAAATTTCCTTTGAATTTATTTTTTGTTATTGTCATATGTTAGGCTATAATTTTCATGAGTCTAGGAGATTAGTTTATATAACTGGCATCTCAGATTGCTTTGCTATTTCTTCAAAGATTTTTTCCTTATTGATCAGTATAAATGGAGTAGGAATACTTCATATTTCTAATGGGAGACATTAAAATGTATTTTCAATTTATATTTCATTTGTTTTAAAAATTATTTTGATTAGCTCATTTTGTTCTTCAAGTGTGAGGGTAGACACCTTTAATTCAGAGAAACTTCTCCCAGAGAAAACAGTACAACCATGACGGTGAACTTTTCAGGGCTTTGAGTGACAACAAACAGCCTCAGTGGCATGTGTGCCATAGGTTACCTTAATATTCTTTGGTGGTTTCCCTGGGGGTTAACTGCTCAATGGAATGAATGACTCCTATAAAAGTAGATGAAAAATGAGTTATATCAAGTGAATTTCATTTTACTGATTTTATTATAAAATATGTAATATTCCATTTTCCATGGGCTAAATTTAGAAAATGATAAAGGATTTTGGTAAGAAAGAGTCAAAAGTACAGTTAGGTCTATGCCATCCATTTCTAGGATCTTATAAAAAACTTCAAATTTTTTCCTTATTTTCTCTTCTCTTTCCTCAACACCTTTTTGTCCCCTATCTTCAAATGTTTTCTTAAACATTCCTGTTCTATACTGAAACCTCTCTTTCTCGAGTGATTTAATTTAAAAAATCATGCAGTAAGCCGGGTATGGTGGTGCATGCCTGTAATCCCAGCACTTGTGAGGCAGAGGCAGGAGGATAGCTGTGAGTTCAAGACCAGCCTGGGCTTCATAGTGAGTTCCAGGTCAATCTCAACTACATAGTGAAACCCTCTCTCAAACTCCCCTCCCCCCAAAAATCATGCAATAGTATAGATATTTCCCTAATAGGAATAACAATTTTTTTTTCTGGTACTGGGGATTGAACTTGCAACCTTGTGCTTGACAAGGTAGGCAGCAGAACCACTGAGCTAAATCCCTGGCCCCAGAAATAACAATGAAATAACTGAATAACTTCCTGCATGGTTTTTATTTCTTCCCATCTACAATTATTTCTCTGGTTACAAATATTTTATTCCTTTATAAAATAATGACCACTGCACTAGAAGTTCTCTTCCAACTCCCCTTACCTCCATTGGTGTAATTTCACCTTCATTGCTTCTACATGGGACATCTGTTAAAAAATTAATAGACATGTTTCATTCTACACAAAACAATAAAAAGATCATTCATATTTATGTACATTGATAAAGTATTATACTTTTTCTCATGACAATCAAAAGGCAACATAAAAACAGCCTGATGAATCATTGGGAAAATAGAAAGGTAAATGAACAAAATGGGGATTGGATAAAATATACACGAAGTGATAATATTTCTATTTGTCTTTTTTTTTGAGTAACCAATATACTGCTTTCCTTTCTTGATGAATCATTGGGAAAATAGAAAGGTAAATGAACAAAATGGGGATTGGATAAAATATACATGAAGTGATAAGATTTCTATTTGTCTTTTTTTTTGAGTAACCAATATACTGTTTTCCTTAGTGCCTGCATGATTGCATATCTCCACCAGTGGTAGCAAGGGTTCTAATTTTCTACACTCTGGCCAACACTTGCCATCCTTTGACCTTAACAACAGATCTTTTAACTCAGGTATGAGATGATATGATGATTTTTATGTGCATTTCCCTGGTGATTCATGATGTTCAGCACCTTTTCGCTTTTCTGTTGGTCATGTGTTCTTTGGAGAATGAATATTAGTTCCTAGCCCATTTTAATTGGCTTATTAAGTTTGATCTTGTTTTATACACTGAATTTAAGAAGCTCCTTATATATTTTGAATGTAGAGCTCTTGCCAGATACATGGTTTGAAAATATTTGCTTCCATTCTATAGGCTGCTTCTTTATTTTTTATGTTTTTGGTACCTGGGACAGAACTTGGTCCTTGCTCTTGCAAGTCAGGTGGTGGAAACATTGAGCTATATCCCTGGCTCTATAGGCTGCTTCTTAAGGCTATATTGTTTGCTTTATGGTGCAGAAGCTTTTTACTTGGACGTAGTCCCACTTGTTTGCTTTTGTGTTTATTGCTTATCTTTTGGTGTCCTATTAAAGAAATTATTGCCCATCTCTAAGTCACTGAACTTTCCTCCTGTATATGCTTGTATATTCTTTCAGGTCTTAGGCTTAAGTCCTTAATCCATTTATTTTTCAGGTAGTTCATGGATGGTCTATAGAAACAACTGATTTTTGCATGTTGATTTTGTATCAACTTCACTGAATTTTTCAGTTTAATGTAGGTTCTTTGTGGAGAGTCTAGAATTTTCTACATATAAGAACATGTCATCTGCAAAGATAACATTATTTCTTTCTTCCTGGCTTGGATACCTTTTATTTCTTTTTCTTGACTAACTGCTCTGTCTGAAACAGTGATGGTGGACCTTTTAGAGCTTTCAATGATACAAACAGCCTTCTGCAGCATGCATGTCATAAGTTCACCACTAGTACCTCTAGTACTATATTGAATAGAAATGATATGAGTGAGCATTCTTGCTTTGTTCTTGATCTTAATGAAAAGTTCCTATTTTCACTCTTGAGAATGATATTTTCTGTGGGCTTTTCATATGTGATCTTTATTATAATGAAGTACTCTCCAATTATTCCTGGTTTATTGAATGTGTTTATCTTGAAAGGTGTTGAATTTTGTCAAATACTTTTTTCCTACATCCATCTAGATAATTGTATTTTAGCAACTAGCTCTGTTAATATATGTTATTCCATGTATCTAGAGGTCTGCTCAAAGCTTTATGGAGGAGGCTATTGGTGTGTGCTGCAGAGATCAAGGATGTGATGCTGGGATCAATTCATGGTGTGAGGCTAGGATTAAGGCTGCTCCACCCTGGATGTGAGTGCTACCTGACCTTAAGAGTGGGTAGACTAGATAAAATATAAGGGATAGAAAAAAGTCATTAATTCCTGCTTGTCATTTTCTCTTTCCTTTCTGCCTTCTGCCTGCCATGAACTGCTTCTCCTTTGTGATGCCTCTTTGCCATGCCACCCTACCTCAAAGCCAGCCAACTACAAACTGAAACCTCTACACATTGTGAACCAAATAAACCTTTCTTTTTCCTGGTCACTAATTGCAGTCCTGTCTTCTATATCTGAAATTCTATCTTTACATTGGCTCATTCTGCTGTATAAATTTTCAATCTCCTGGAAATATATTTGCATCTGTTTTATGGATTCCATTTGTTTCCTGTGTTGGGATGCCATCATGTTCCTCAGCTCCTCTATTTTTTAAAAATCTATGTCTCCTCTAGATTTATTCGTCGTGTCTTGCACTATGGACACAATCTCTGCTATTTCCTGGGAAATTATTTCTCATTTCATTTTTTTCCAGATCCTCTTGTTGCCAGTTCAGGGATTCCAGGTGGTTGAGTATCAGATTGTTAGGTCTTGTTTCCCTTTGGGATTGCCTTAGGTGATCTGGAAATCTGGCTTTGTGACTTGTTTCCATGTCTTCTCATTTCAACAGATGCAGCTTGCTGTGCCTTTTTTTGAGGCAACTTTTTGCTCACCCAGTGGTCTTCAACTCTCAGCAAACCATCAAGAAGCCTTTTCTCTGCTGCTTACCAGTACACTAATTCCTGGGTTCAGAAAGGTGGCCTTCTGGATCCTTGAGCTCACCTGTCATCTGGGCAGGCTTCTGGCTGGGGCCCAAGCACACTTGGGATGGTATCTAGGTGTGCCTCTTGCTGGGTCCTTTATATACCTATTGTCTGAGAGGGCCTTTGGCAGGGGACTGTACTCCCCAGTTCCTGTTGTCTTTGAAGGCTTCTGGCTAGGGTCCACCAGAGAGCATACAGGGGCTGGCCTCTGACTGAAGCTTGTGACACTGGGCAGCTCTTTCCTGGGCAGGCCTTTTGTAAGACTTGAATAAGCTAAAGTGACTCCATGCTCATAGGCCAGAGACTTTGCTTCTTCATATGCTAATTGCTAACTTGGCTAACAGCCCCCCAGGGGCAAATGGTTTGACAAAAGGTGACCCTAGAACATTTCCTGCATAAGATAAGCAATGTGTTTGCAGTCTTGTTCTGTGAATTCCCTGACTCTTTGTTTAGAAAAACCTTATAAAAAGTACCTCAGCCCCTGAGCAGTTGCCTCTCTGAGCTACCTGGCTCTGGGAGTGTGGTCTGGCCAGACTAATAAAGGTCTATTTACCATCTAGCCTGGTGTGATCCCTCCTGGGTTTCTCGTTTCTCCCTAGCTCCCGGAGCCTCGCTGAGTGTTAGGGCCCAGCATCGTGGAGGCCTTTTTGGCTGTTCACAGCTTTGGGAAGTCAGGCCCTGGGTCTTGCCTCCGGAGCCATCGTTGGGCTATAGGACTCAGCATTGTGAAGGCCCTTTCGGCTGTTCATGCTCCGTGGAGTGGAAGTGAGACTTTAAGTCTTACAGTGTAGCTCTGATGTCAAGGTAATGCTAAACATATAATGAGTTTAGAGTTGTTTCATTCTGCTCATGCTTTGGGAAGCATTTGAGAATAAATGCTTTTAATTTTTTACATGTATGTTAGAATTCACTAGTGAAGCTATCTGGTCCTGCGCTTCTCATTGGGAGGCTTTTCATTTTCATTACTGACTCAGTCTCCTTCATAATCATAGGTATGTTCAGACTTGCTGTTCTTCAATGTGCAGTCTTCACAGGTTGAATGTTTCTAGGAATTATCTGTTTATTCAGCACTGTCCAATTTGTTGGCATATAATTGTTCATTATAATCTCATGTTCTTTTTAAATTTTTTGCATCACTTGCAATATCTTCTCTTTCACTTTTGATTTTGCATCTTCTCTCATTCCTAAATCTAGCTGATAATTTGTTAATTTTATTTTTAAAAAACAGTTTTAAAAAATTCCCCATTTTGTTTGTTTCTGCCCTAATTTTTATTTCTCTTCTGCTAACTTTGAACTTATATTGTTCTTTTTCTAGTTCTTTGAGGTGTGAAGTTAGATTGTTAAGTGTACATCTTTATTCTTTTTTCATAAAGACTTTTACTGATATAAACTTCCTTTTACTACTGCTTTTTATGCATCCTATACATCTTGAGATATTTTCTAATTTATTTTAAAATTTATCATTTGGCTGTTTAAAAAGAATGTTAAATTTCCACATACTTGTGAGTTATAGTTTTCTTTTTGCTACTGATTCTATTTTTGCTCCTTTTTACCCAGAAAAGACAGGTGTGGTATGATTTCAATGTAGTCTCCTTGTCCTCACTAGCATTTTTTATTTTTTGTTTTTGTGACAATGCTTTAATGGGATTCTAATGGGATGAAATGATATCTCTTTGTTCTTCTGATTTGTATTTCCCTGATGATTATTCCTGTTGAGTATTTTTTCATATACCAAATTGGCCATTTGTAGGTCTTTTTAAAAAGAAAGGCCTATTTACAAGTGGAGGATGGTGGTACACACTTATAATTCCAGTTCTCTAGGAGGATGAGACAGAAGGATTGAAAGTTTTAGAGAACAGCCTAAAAGACTTGGTCTAAATGCTTTTTTTTAAACTTATTTTTTTTGACTTAACATGCCATCTGCTTGGAGAATGTTTCATGAACTCAAGAGAAAATACATATTATGTTTCTCTTAGTTAGAATCTTCTAGATATGTCCATTTGGGCTATAGTTATGTTCATGTGGTTTACCTAGTTCAATTTTTCTGTTTCTTTGTTCATTTTTGTCTTATTATTCTACTCATTATTGAAAGTGTGTTAGTTGCCAACGTCTCTTACTATTATTATATTATTATCTATTTCTTCAGTTCTTTTTGTACAATTTAGGTGTTTTGATGTTCATATATTTAGATGCTCTAATGTTAGTGCATACATAGAATTATATTCTGTTTATGGAGTGAATTCTTTATCACTATATAATGACCTCATTTGTGTTTTTTCATACTTTTTGACCTAAAGTCTATTTCCTGATGTAAATATACCCACTCCTGATACTTTTGGGTTACCATTTGTTATATCTTTGTTCATTCCTTTAATTTTAGCCTGTATGTGTTTTAAATCTTTTTTTTTTTTTTTTTTTTTTGGAGACAGGGCCTCACTATGTAGTTGAGACTAACCTGGAATTCACTATGTAGCCCAAGCTGGTCTCAAACTCATATCGATCTTCCTGCCTCAGCCTCCTGAGTGCTGGGATTACAGGCGTGTGTCACCTTTGTATTTCTATTGATATGCTTTGACTCCCTTCTCCCTATATTTTGTGCCTTCTGTAATTATTTTCTTCGTTTGTCCCCCTACAACCCAAGTGTGGGGAGTTTGGTCCTCAGCATGATAATGTTGGGATATAATGGAACTTTTACAAGATAGGGTCTAGTAAAAGTGGTTATGTCAAAGAGACTAAGGTAGTTCTCTTGGGACCCTGTTAGTTCTCATAAGACTCAGTTGTTATAAAAAATAAATGAGCAGGACTTTCTGGCTTCCACGTCACCCTCTTGCCCCCTTACACATGCTTCCAGTTCTCATTACACATAAGCTGGTGCAAGTCATATGCTCTTGAGCCTCCAAACTGTGAGCTAAATAAAACACTTTTATTTATAATGTACCCACCTGGAGTTATTTTGTTAAAGCAACAACAAAAACAAACAAAAAAAGTGAACTAATATGGTACCCTAAGTTTACAAAAAAAGACAGAAACAGCCAGTGCCTCAGGCAGTCCTCAGAAAAAAGTCAGAATACTGGACCATATTCCCATTTTCTCCTGCTCTCCCCAGGAAGAAGCTGTGAGTTAGAGCTTCTCACTGGTTATGTGGAACAATGTAAGGGGCAGGGTGAATGGCAAGAAAGTGTTTTGAATATTTTTACTTCTGGAAAAAATGTAGCTGGTCTCATGCCGGAGACTCAAAAAGTTTCTGAAAAATTCTCATAATAAAGGGAATTGTTTTTTCCACTGTCATTGATGTGTCTGAGGTGGACAAAAAGGATACAGGGCTTCTTATTTTGCCATCTTAATTATGTCCCCAACTCAGCTGAATTTTCCAAGCTGTGGTATCTCATAGGTAAAATAAGTAATATTACCTTATTTTATAGCTACAACACAATTATATATAATGATAGAGAAAACTTTTATAAGTAGCAAAAACCTATAAAGTGTTACGATGTAAAGTGGCTTCTGCTGTCTCTAACAGCAGTTTGTTTTGTTTAGCTCAGAATTAATAAGCACCAAAGGCACTAATTGCTGAATGAGACATTGGGTCTGACCCTGAGATAATAGGGCACAGCAAGGTCTTGAGCTCCCAGAGACTGGAGCAACCTGATCATAAAAGTGTCTAAATGAAAGAACCCATTGCTAACATTTGCTCCCGTGACCCTGAACACCCCTTTCCTATGGGCTAGAATAGATAACTAGGCGAATCTTAAAGGTAAACTCCCCAACTGCAAAGAACTGTTACATCTGGGTTGAAAAGATTAACTATTTTGTGACTGTGATTTGAACTGTGAGAATGAAATGTAACCACTCATGTGAAGTCAAGGCTGTAAAATCCTATAAAAGGAGAAGTTGTAAGCCAGTGCGTCATCAATCCAGGCACGGCTTATGTGCAATCGACCCTTATCGATAAGTAAATTTATTATTTTACTTCCATTCTGCTACCTCTCTGTGCATCACTTACTGACTCCTTCCGTAACAATAAGACATAAATGGTAATATGTTAAATAGTTGAGATCTCAGGTCAAACTGACTAGACCAAATTGAACCCCTATGAATTAGTGATTTATAGTTGATTATCTAATGTTTGATCTTGAGCTTATTTATAAATAATAATAGTTCCCTCAATTGGTTGTTGTGAGGGTTGATGTATAATCCAAGTAAAGTACCTAGAACATAGTGATCAATAAATGCTAGCTGGACTACAAGGGACTATAGGCAAACCAAAGGAAAGAAGTTACTAGATGATCCAGTGGCCTCAAAATAAGCTCTTTCGAGAAGGGTGGGGGGACTACTAGTTGCTGAGAGATATCATGTCTTCCCAGTGATATTGAAAAGTAAGTAGGTGATTATCCTAAACCTATAACTTGAATGTTCCAGATGAAATGTAGACTAAAGATACAATAACTCTGTTAGGCTAGTTGCTTCCCTGAAGTTCAGTCATGAATATACTTAAAATCCTGATATATCTGGGGAAGTAGAAATAGGAAACATTATTAAGTTGTGGTACAAATCTTATAACTAATCAATATTCCATACTTTAAAAAAATCAAAGATTTTAAAGATAAATATAATGCATTTTAAAGCATAGTAATATATTTAACTTGCATTTGAAGGGACTCTCTTAAAGGCAGATATTTAAAAAGCCTGCATGTATTTTTCTCTAATTAAATCTCTTACTGATAATTTGTGTAATTTAAAAAATTTAATGCTAATTTAATTTCTTCTTTTTCCCCAACTGCACTTTCTCCCCCTCCTCTCTCTCTTGCTTCTCCTCCTCTTTCTCTCCTCTACATGGAAGAGGCCAATGGCTCTACAGCTTACAATGTTGAACAAAAATTCTTTTTCACAGATCAGAGTTAAGATTTAACTTTTCTATAACTTTAAAGGAGCAAAATAGCATTAAGCGTTTTACAAATTTTTAATAGGGTCTAAACATTTTCCTGGGAATGTTACAAAATAAATACTATATGCCAAATTGATGATAAAATATATATTTATTCTCTAACAAAAATCAGATTTGCCTATAGCAAACTATATAACACCTTGATTTTAATTATTTTAATGATAAACATAAAAACAAATTAATTTCTTACCTAATGTTATAGTATCCTCAGACCATTTTTCATATTGGTTATTACTTAGGCTTTCTGGTATTTTATTTATATTCACTTCCTGGAATAAGAAAAGAAAATATATCGGTTGAAACATTAAAAAGCAAAAAGTTTTCCTCTGCCTTAAAATCTTCATTTTAATATGCTATGCTTTTATTCCTCTAAATTTACAAAAGACAGGAGCTGAGTTTGTGAGAAAAGCAATCCAAAGTAAAATTTTATTTCTTTTTTTTCCTCATTGAGTTTATTGGTACATTTTAGGTATACAGTACAGTCACATTCACCATTGGGATCTTGTACCTTTACATGACAGGTCTTGGTTCTCATTTTTTCCCCTTGTCCCTGCCCTCCCTTCACCCCTCCTCCTCTTCCCCTTTACAAACATTTCATTTCCATTTTTTCATTTTCTCATATTTTCCCCTTATTACCTTTCCCCCACCCTTCCCACTTTCCCTACACCATTAGCCCCTTTCTTCCTATTTCACATTGTCCCTTATATCATTAGGATCTTAGGTACTACTATAGTTTACACACCAGAGTAAACTATTCAGTATTTATACATGTGTGACTTATTTATTTCACTTAGGAGTATATCCTCAATGTGTATCCATTTTCCTATAAATGACTATATTTTCTCATTCTTTATGGCTGAGTAATATTCCATTTTATAGAAAAATCACACCTTCTTTATTCAGTTTCCAACTGATGGGCAAATGGGCTGTTTCCAAGTTTTAGCTAGTGCAAACTGTGCAGCTATAAATATGGGTGTGTGTATATCTCTGTGATATGATTCTTTTAGTTTTTTTGGAAAGATACCCAGCAAAAGGATGGCTAGGTCAAATGGAACCTCTAATCCTAGTTCTTTGAGGTATCTCCATACTGACTTCCATAGTGGTTGCACCAGTCTGCACTCCCACCAACAGTGGAGAAGGATTCCTTTCTCCCCACAACCCAGCCAACATTTGTTATTGTTTGATTTCTTGATAGCCTCCATTCTTTGTGGGGTCAGGTGGAATCTCAGTGTTGTTTTCATCTACATCTATCGAATGACCAGTGATGTGGAACATTTTTTCATATATTTACATGCTGCTCTTTGAGAAATGTCTGTTCATTTCAGATGCCCATTTTTGAATTGTGTCTTTATATTTGGGGGGACTGATTGCTTTGAGCTTTATATATTTTAGATAATAATCCTTTGTCTGAGGAGCAGCTGGTAAAAATTTTTTCCTACACTGTAGCTTGTCTCTTAGTTCTGTTGATGGTTTCTTTTGCAGTGCAGAAGCCTTTTAATAAGATGAGATCCCAGGTGTTGATTCTTTCTGCTAGTTCCCATGCTACTGAGGATTTATTCATAAAATATTTTCCTATGACAGTGTCTTCATGGTATATATCTTAACTTAATAAAGGCTATCTATGAAAAACCAACAGCAAACATCATGTTAAATGGCCTAAACCTGAAAACTTTCACATTAAAATCAGAAACAAGACAAAGATGTCCACTATCACTACTCCTCTTTGACATAGTTCTGGAAACATTAGCCATAGCAATTAGACAAAAGAAGGAAATTAAATCAATAAAGATAGGAAAGGAAAAAGTTAAACTGTCATTATTTGCTGATGATATGATACTTTACATTGAAGACCCAAAGAACTCTACCAAAGGACTTCTAGACTTAACTGACAGATTCAGTAGAGTAGCTGGATACAAGATGAACACCCCAAAATTAATAGCCTTCTTGTCCACAAATAACAGACTCACTGAGAGAGAAATTAGGGAAACAATTCCTTTCATAATAGCTTCTAAAAAAATGAAGTATCTAGGAATCAATCTAACAAAAGAAGCAAAACACCTCCATACTGAAAGCTACAGCACTCTGAAAAAAGAGATGGAAGAGGATATAAGAAAATGGAAAGATATCCCCTTGCTCCTGGGTAGGAAGAATCAATATAGTGAAAATGGCCATACTACCAAAACTGCTATACAGATTCCATGCAAGGCCAATTAAAATTCCAACACTATATTTCACAGAACAAGAAAAAAGAATCCAAAAATTCATTTGGAACCATAAGAGACCTAGAATAGAAAAAGCCATCCTAGACAACAGAGACATGGTAGTGGGTATGAGTCCCCACTTTGAAACTATACTACAAATCCACTGTGATAAGAACAGCATGGTACTGGCAAAGAAACAGATCTGAGGATCAGTGGAACAGATTGGAAGACACAAAAACAAATCCAGATGTAATCAGCTGTGTCATCTTTGACAAAGGAGCTGACCATCCTCACTGGAGGAAAGATAGCCTCTTTAATAAATGGTGTTGGAAAAACTGGATCTCAACCTGCCAAAGATCAAAACTGGACCCTTATCTTTCACCATGCACTAAATTAAAACCCAAGTGGATTAAAGATCTAAATATTAAAACAGAAACACTAAACTTGCTGGAAGATAAGTTAGGCAAAGGGCACAATTTTAAAGAGAAATTGATGTTCCAGACAGCAGGTATCCAAGAATGGGTGGAGTATTTGGCTGATGAATGTATGAGAGATACAGATTATAAGAAAATTATACAACTTTAAGAACAAAGAGAATAGCCCTAGGGGACAAATTTTAATTAGAATATATTATAGCTTACACACAAAATTCCAGAAAAATTATAAGCTAGGAAAACAGCAGTAGGATTTTAAATAAATAAATAAACAAACAAACAAACAAATAAATAAATAAATTTGCAATACTGAGGTTGTATAGGGTCTTTCACATTATAGGGAAAATACTACCATCATCAGACCTTTTTTTTTTAACTTTATTTTGAGACAGGATCTCACTAAGATGCGAGGATGGACTTAAATTTGTGATCCACCTGCTTCACTCTCCTGCATAGCAAGGATTACAGGCATGTGCCACTTTGCTTGGCTGGGATTCTTGTAAAATACTGATCTTTTAATCAGAACCCAAAGTTCATAGTCACTTTATGGGTGCTCTATATGGATACTCTCCCAAATTTTTCCCTGAAATATTAGTTATGCATTCGTAAATACTAATTTATTGTATAGGAGCATAACACTGTCCAATTATCACATAAGAATTGACAAAAAAATGAAAATATCAGCATGTTATCCCTGCTTTTTCAGGGTCATGATCTTAGTCCATGCTTTATTTCTCCATGAAGATAGTTTTGAATCTTTTAATTCCAGGTCAAAATGTATAGGTTTGATTGTACTTCTAAATATCAAATGTTACTCATATCTGATAAAAGTCTAGACTCTACAATACACTTTTAAAAAAGTTACAGCTATAAAAGTTACAAATAACTTGATTTAAAAATTGACAAAAGGTTTAAGTATTTGTCCAGTGAAAGTATAGAAAAGGACAGTAAACACACACAAAGATTTCCCTACCATTAGTCATTAGAGAAATGCAAATCAGAAGCACAGTGAGTAATCACTTCACACCCACAAAGATGGTTATAATAATAACTGTTGAAGATTTAGAAACTTCACACATTACTGGTTGGGATGTAAGATGTTTCAGTTGCTGTGAAAAACAATTTGGCTATTCTCCAAAAATTGAAACTGGGAATTACAGTGCGATCCAGGTTCCACTTCTAGGAATATACTCAAGACAATTATAGATATTAATTTACACAAAAACTTACACATGAATGTTCACAGCAGTATTCTTCATAATAGTTTAACGTTGGAAACAACCCAAATATCCACCAGTTCATGAACAGAAAAGCAAAACGTGCTGCAGCTATGTAGTGGAATATTATTTGGAAATAAGAAATGTATCGATACATGCTACCCCAGGGGTGAACCTTGTACAAACTGTGGTAAGTTAAAAAAAAGCAAACAGAAAAGACTGCACAGTGTATATCTACATGAAATATCTACATTGGCAAATCTGTGAAGAAGAAAGTAGATTAGTTACTGCCTAAGGCTGGAAGGCAATGGGCGAATTGAAGAACTGTTGCTTATAAGGTGTGGGGTTGGTTTTTTGGGGTGTGTGTTTGGAGGGGGGTAAAGAAAATGTTCTAAAATTGATTGTGGTGATGGATAAAAAACTGAGTTAATACAGTAAAGACTACTCAATTGATAACTTTAATAAGTTAATTGACTAAACCTTACAAATCATTGACAAATAATGACAATGATCAAAATAGGGAAATGCATGAACCACAAATAGCATTTCATATAGCAAGAAAAAGTAAGCAATATCTGAACATTACTTTTAATTTTTATAATATCTTTCTTTTGTTAGCTAAATTCCCTGCCCTAGAATTCTTTCTTAAAGGTATTAAAAGCTACACGTGGGATAATGTATTATGTTAATTACCTTGGAATTCATATGTTCCAATTCTGGAGTAATTAGGCTTTTTAAATAATCAGCTTTTTCTTTCCATGTACTCAAATTTCTATATTCCTTTTCATTCTTTCCAGCCTAAAAAAAGCAATCAGTTGTAGATGAAAAAATCAAGGGACAGGAAATATATATGGTATGATTCATAGGAAGAAATATGATCTACTTATTAAAAGTTCTAAAAGAAACAAACCAACAATATATCGTCTAGGGAAGGTAAAGGGAAGGGATTGACTGCAACAAAAACAATGATACTATTATTCTGGGCTTGGTTAGGGAGAAGGATGTAGCCTCATAAGGACACACAAAACACTTTTCTGATATTAGTGGTGTTGTAGTTCTTCACCTGAATCACAAATACCTAGACAATGGCTTTATTGTCATGATTTCTGATAGATCTGAACCCTGTTTGTCTGCAGCTGCCAATTTCCGGGGTGAAGGTTCCCAGTCACTGCCAGAACTCCTGGAACAATTACAGCGTGACCCCCACCCAGTGTACCCAGATAGAGAACCCGGATACCGTTTCACAAGAAAATATTAGCCATTGCTATGGCAACTATTGCCATTTTGCCGCACAGCCATTTCTACTCAGCTGTTCTCCTCTCCATCACCACTAAGCTCCTGTTTGCCTCCTTCTACCTAAGTCCCTCCTACCAAACCTCCGTAAAATCCAGCACAATAAATGACTCAGACTCTCCTTT